CGTCCTTGAGGTCCAAGGACACCGCATAATCCTTTACCCTCACTAAAGGGAGGATTAAGGCCAAGGTTTCCATTCGAAAATGAACCGGCGGAATAAAGAGATTTATCCGCTTCATATTCAGAATCATTCGAAGCTTCCCCGAAAGAAAAGGACCGCGCGAGGGGACGTCCCGGAGGACTGACGGAACGTCAGCCTCACAAACCCCCAAAGCGGAAAGCGCCAGCTCCCGACGCCGGTGAGTCAACGTGACCGCCGACTCCAATAACTGCGACCATTGAAGTCCAGCTAGTGAGAGTAAAATGTCATCTATGATCAAAAGATCAGCTTCCGACACCTCAAGCTCCGCAGCTCTAGCCCTCAAGCTGAGAAGGGAACCTTGATAGGCACACAGGCACCTACTAGACCGAACCCCCCTCGGATAGACACGGCAGGTAGCGGTCCGTATTCTTAAAAGGCTTAGAAGAGGGTTGGACGCCCGAAGGCGCTGACCAACCCCCGAAATCTCGGGGGAAAACTTCTTAGCCGTAAAGAAACTAGAGCCGACTTCATCATTGAAGCCAAACTCTTTCCCGCGCACGAGGGGTCTCTTTGTTCTAGGCGATGAACCAATACGATCGTATTCACCCTGGAAATCTTCGGTAAGGGGAATTCCCACGCCCGAGGACTGCTGTCTAAACAGCAATGAGGACGGAGCCCCCACCGGTGGAAAGGAGAATAAACCTCAGGGAGGTATTTCTCCAACAATGCCTTAGCCTCAACACCCAGCTGGGAATGAGACTGAGATTCGGCAAAACTCTTTACGGTCGACACCTCCGAAGAGATAGAGACCTGAGACACAGACTCTGCCCCGGACGGGGGACCGACCGGGTAAGACCATGGATCCACCACAGTTTCTTCCCCAGGTGGAGCACCGAGTGCCGCTGGGGGAAGAACCCGAGTCTGCTAAAAATCACGGTAACCCGACACATGCTCCGCCGACGATTGCTCCGCCGACATTTACTCCGCAAAACGCGACAATTGCTCCGCGACATTTGCTCCGACGTCAAATGCTCCGCCGACAGTTGCTCCGCCGTCAGTTGCTCCGCCGACAGTTGCTCTGCCGACAATTGCTCCGCCTACAGATGCTCCGCCGACAATTGCTCCGCCGACAATTGCTCCGCCGACAATTGCTCCACCGTCAATTGCTCCGCAAAACGCGACAATTGCTCCGCCGACATTTGCTCCGCCGACATTTGCTCCGCCTGAAGCGACACTTGCTCCGCCGACATTTGCTCCGCCGACAATTGCTCCGCCTGAAGCGACAATTGCTCCGCCGACATTTGCTCCGCCTGAAGCGACAATTGCTCCGCCGACATTTGCTCCGCCGACATTTGCTCCACCGACATTTGCTCCGCCGACAATTGCTCCGCCGACAATTGCTCCGCCTGAAGCGACAATTGCTCCGCCGACATTTGCTCCGACGACATTTGCTCCGCCCAAAAAGTGTCCCATAAACTACAAATGCTACTAGTACTACGACAAATGCTTCGCCGACAATATTTTCTTTACACCTATTTTTTTCGTTTCTTTTTTTCTTCTTCATTTTCTGAATGCATTTCTTGAAATAATGTAGATGAAATGAAATGAATGAATGTTGATGAAGTGGGAGGAAAAAGGAGTTACCTAAAAGTCATTTCGAATATACTGAAATAACTTTCCATCTATCACTGTACGTCCCATATAATGTATACTAAACACTCATTACATGTCGTGGGAAGTTTTTTTTAAAAAGTAGAGCAGCAAGCCACATTCCCCAATACGCGCATACCTCCTAGTTAATTTCAAGTAGCTCATCAATATGTAATACCTGAAATTACCTCGATCAATGCATCTTACTAGGTAAAGCATTATACAATGTAATAGGTCATCATGGAAGTTTAGAAAATAAGTAAGGGGGATTTACCAAGTGTTGATCTTTTTAAGAGTTTTATAAAGAAACAAAAAGATATTGAATATTTCTCAGCGAAAAAAAGGAACAAGCTTGTTTCGCATTTTAAGAAATGGCGATTTGACTTATGATACTCATGTTGATTTAACTTTTATTCCTGTGCCCCCTCACTCCCCTTTATGCACTGGAGTTCAAACTATGATTTATATGTGTACAGTGTATTTTTTTTTACTATAATGTTTTTTTTTTATAACTTTCTTGTCCTTTCATTATTGTTAGTTGTTCTTATACATATTGGTTTTTTTGTTTGTCTAATTATTACCAATGACTTGTAAATATGTAATTGTTATATGATTGAAAATTTAATAAACACACAAATATAAAAAAAAAAGTTTAGAAAATAAGGGCACTTATATACGTAAGGAAGAGAACCCATTCAGACGGGAAAATGAGATGGCAGCCTTTCTGCTTATTCACATTTATACAAATCATTTTGTTGCAGTTTGATGTTAGTTCTTCATGATAAGCCAATTGCTCTTCTTCCGGTGGCTTCGTGAGTCCCTTAAATTATTTAGTGAAAACCAAGTACTCGAATGAAACGGAGTGTTTTGCACACTAACATATATATATTAAAGCTACATACACTTAACTAAAGGAAAGAAACCTTTAGAAAATGGACTGGATATTATTGAAAATATTATTCTAAACAAGAATGTACTACATGATTGTATTACTTTACGTTTCAATTTCACGAGAGAAATAGAACTCGAGAGGGGGAGCAGAGAAGAAGTGATGGAAATGAAAGAAGACTAATAGCATGAGAGGAAAGAAAAGAGCAAAGAAGACAAGAAAACGGTGTAAACAGGAAAAGGAGGAGCATGGGAGAGAGAGAAAGAGAGAGAGAGAGAGAGAGATAGCCTTGAGCTTTGGATCAGCTAATGAGTAATACATGAAACAGATTTTGAGCGGAGTAATTATCTTTTGCCGGAGAACTTGCGTAAGGAGCTATAATTTTATTTTTTATTTTTTTAAAATCAAACATTATGGGGAATAGCAAAAAACGGTTGTCTTTTTTGTTCTTTTCTTTCCTCTCATGTTATTAGTCTTCTTTCATTGAGGTAATTTCAGGTCTTACATATTGATGAGCTGTTTGAAATTAACTAGGAGGTATGCGCGTATTGGGGAATGTGGCTTGCTGCTCTACTTTAAAAAAAAAAAACTTCCCATGACATGTAATGAGTGTTTAGTGTACATTATGTGGGACGTACAGTGATAGATGGAAAGTTATTTCAGTATATTCGAAATGACTTTTAGGCAACTGCTTTTTCCTCCCACATTATCAACATTCATTCATTTCATTTCATTTACATAATGTCATGAAATGCATTCAAAAAATGAAGAAAAAAAGAAACAAACAAAAACAACCCGTGAAAAAAAAATATTGTCGGCGAAGCATTTGTCGTAGTACTAGTAGCATTTGTATTTAATGAGACACTTTTTGGGCGGAGCAAATGTCGTCGGAGCAAATGTCACCGGAGCAAGTGTCGCTTCATGCGGAGCAAATGTCGTCGGAGCAATTGTCGGCGGAGCAAATGTCACCGGAGCAATTGTCGCTTCAGGCGGAGCAATTGTCGGCGGAGCAATTGTCGACGGAGCAATTGTCGGCGGAGCAAATGTCGTCGGAGCAATTGTCGGCGGAGCATATGTCACCGGAGCAATTGTCGCTTCAGGCGGAGCAATTGTCGGCGGAGCAATTGACGGCGGGGCAAATGTCGGCGGAGCAAATGTCGGCGGAGCAAATGTCGGCGGAGCAAGTGTCGCTTCAGGCGGAGCAAATGTCGGCGGAGCAAATGTCGGCGGAGCAATTGTCGCGTTTTGCGGAGCAATTGACGTAGACCGCCGGGTGAACCCTCAAAAGTGCCTTAGTTTTTGTGTTTTGTGACCCATGGTCGGCATCTACTTGAAAATAATCTCTAATGTGTAGAAAAATATACTGAAGATGATGGTGCAACTCGTCAGTAGAAAAAATTGCACACAAATTAATAATGTCCAGAATAATTTTTAATAAATATGACAAACGCCCTCTTGGGTCCATTCTGAGACAGCTGTGTATTATGCTATGTGAAAATGACTTGTATTGATATCGAGCAAAGCTGCAGTGCACTCAAAATATGCCCCTTTCCCTCTTTCCTCATTCCTTCCCCTTCTCTTTCCTAATCCCCCTCTTTCTCTCCTTATCCCCTCTCATCCCCCCACCCATTTTTCCTCATTCCCCCTCTCTCTCTTCATCTCTTTATTCCTCTTTCCTCACCCCCCCCCCCTCTCTCTCTCCCTCACTCTTCATCCCATTCCCTCCCTTTCTCTTGTTTCCTTAACCGCTCTCTCTTTCCCATTCCCTCTCCCCCCTCACTCTTTCCCACCTCTCTATCTCTTTCTATGTCATACCCTTCAATATATATTTCAGGGAATGGCATATCTTTAAATAAAATAAATCACAATTTAAAACAAAGTTTGTAAGGCATGTTTGACCAATTATAATCTGGTTTCACATCAAATATATGACATATTACTATCTCACATTCTCAAAATATATGGTCAATAAAATTGTAAGCCTGCTTGACTACATGGATACTGCTCTTTGGGTTGATGTAGAGAAATGATTCATCATCAGTTATACAACACATTGTCACTTCACATTAAAATATTTTCAATAACAAACATTCTTTCAAGCGATCACATGTATGTATGTTTTAGCAAAAATACACATAAAATATACATTATAGATAAAAAAAATTTTTTATATATTCATGGATGGCAGGGTCGCAGCCTCTGCTATTCTTCTTCAGTTTATCTAAATCATGTTCTTTAACATTTCCAGCAGGTAATTTCATACATTTGTCCAAATGCCATTTAGTAAAAGTTATCTGCTTTATCGAATCTGGCGGAAATTGGCAAAATAGAGCATCGCAATAAAGGTCTTTACATTGAATTTCCAAAAAAGGCTTTACATTTACAAGTAATATTTTCAATAACAAACATTCTTTCAAGCAATTGCTCAAAAAGCATTACATGTATGTACCCGTCTGTATTAGCAAAAACACACATAAAATATACATTGTAAATAAAATTTAAAAATTCATGGATGACAGGGTCCCAGCCTCTGCTATTCTTCTTCAGTCTAATATATCTAAATCATGTTCTTTAAAATTTTCAGCAGGTAATTTCATACATTTGTCCAAATACCATTTGATACAAGTTATCTGCTTTATCGAATCTGGCGGAAATTGGCAAAAAAGAGCATCACAAGAAAGGTCTTTACATTGAATTTCCTAAAAAAAACTTTACATTTACAAGTAATGTGACATACAATGATTTAAATATTGTTCCTTCTTTGCCTTGATCTCATCTGTGCTCACTTGTTTGTTGTAATGTTGCAGAAGTGCCTGTAGCAGCCCGCATGGTATCCTGGTTGGACATACCTTTATTGAAAATAAATAAAAGCAAGGATCATTTACAAATGTAATATCATTTATTAAAAAAGAAGTATTCATCACTACAAAATCTACAGTATGAGTCGAATCTAGCATATAACTATCATCAAAATACAAATTTAAAAAATATCTGTGCTGACTGGTTACTGTCTCTAACTGGAAGCGAACGGACTGGACATCAGTGACACTAGCAGTGGAAATTATTCAGAACTGCTTATTAGAAAACGTAAGGAGGTGTCTCATATTTTTATGAAATGTTTTTTTGTGTGTAGAGCATGGAGGGCATACGGTACTGTAATACATTTTTCATCATGAATAAAAAAAGATCACCAGGGCAAGGGCAAGGCTCATTCTCCAACACAAGTGGCGTATTAATTTAAATGTGTCAAATATTGACGGGGACTGTGGGCCTCACCATGCAGAATTTTTCAAACATACAACAACAAAAAACAAAAAATCCACCTTGATTGTGGAAATTTAGGGGGACAGTGGCCCCTCACCCCCCCCCCCCCAAAAAAAACCCACCAGTACGCTGTTCTCAGACGATACCATAATCAATATATGGACAATAAATACCCACATTAATTATGAAGACCTGATCTGTACTAATGTAGTATACATGTAGAATCAAGCCTGTCCAGTATCCAATTTGACTTGATCAACCACTTTGAACAAGTCAGCTAGGCCTCAATTTCGAGAGCATAGCCTTTTTTTTAGAAAGTAGAAATTACCCGGTAGATATTCTAATCTAGATTCTCTTTGTTCTTGATTCTAGTTGTAACGTTTAGGGCCGGGAAATAGTCACATGACATCTAGAAGTAGAAGTAGTAGAAGTAGAAGTAGACAAAGATCCCGGGTTCGACTCCCACCCAGGCGGATGACCGAGGCCTGCGTTGTGTGTTAATGTGCCCCTTCCCTTTTTAGACGCAGGTTATGTCAAGTGGAAAACACTCCGTCCCTCCGATAGGACATTAAATGGAGGCACGCTAAGAACCCATTGCACTATTCGTATAAGACTAAGACTAAACCCCGGTGTAATAAGTGCAAGAATCTTCACTTAAGTATCATTTGAAGGAGGCAGATTATCTCGAAGAAGAAGAAGAAGAAGAAGAAGAATAGGATCATAGTTATTCTGAACATGCTGAAATAATTAATACAATCATTTCTTCGGAATGACATAGATCTAGGCCTACCTCTTTTTTTGTTGAACTTGTTGCAGTTCGAACACGGCCTCCCTGGTACACTCCTCCGCGGCCGCCCGAGGCGCCGGGCGAGTACTGCTCTGTCTGCAGCTCGAACGAGTCGAAGTCGAAGTCGAAGTTGACCGCAATCGCAGCAATTTTGTTTTCTAGTTCAAACCCAAAACTGACGTCCTTCCAAAGATCTGCACACTCCTTGAATTTTCTGTAACTCTTCCCACTGAAAGATATCACCTTCCTGTGAGTCGAAATTGTATGCATACAGCAAAAACCTGTGTTTTCCTCTGAAACATTCAGTTGTTGACGACAGATTACTACACCTAAAGCTCGAAATAGCGCGCGCCAGTGGTACGTGCACAACACTGCCTGTGATTGGCTAAAAAGCTTGAAGCGCTGTAACCTTTACTTGATACATGCACAGTGATTGGACAACCTCCGTGAAAAAAAAAAAAGATTTTAGGCAACTTTTTTCCATTTTTTGAGCTTATTTGCATTTTTTTCGATTGACGAGTTGTGACTATAATATCAAAATATATTCTTTAATAATATCCACTATTAAGAAAGTAGATGCCGAGCCGAGGTCACGAAACTGACGAATTTTGGGGCTCACCCGGCGGTCTAACGGCGGAGCAATTGTCGGCGGAGCAATTGTCGGAGGAGCAATTGTCGGCGGAGCATCTGTCGGCGGAGCAAATGTCGGCGGAGCAACTGTCGGCGGAGCAACTGTCGGCGGAGCACCTGTCGGCAGAGCATTTGACGTCGGAGCAAATGTCGCGGAGCAAATGTCGCGGAGCAATTGTCGCGTTTTGCGGAGTAAATGTCGGCGGAGCAATCGTCGGCGGAGCATGTGTCATGGAACCAAAAATCACACCCAGACGGTTGATTGACAACTACGGGAGCGGTTACCGCCAGAGCAGGTAACGCTAACGAGGGAGTAACCCCCGACGGAGTAACTCCCAACACAGCCTGATCGCTAACAGGTGCCGATGCCCCCGAAGGAAGCGCCTAGCCCTGCTGCTGAGCAAAGGCTTTGAACAAAGTCAAAAGCCCCGCATCAGACGGGGAAGAAACAGCACGCTTCTTAGACTTTTTCTTAGTCACAGACGTGCCTTTCTTCTTCGACTTCTTTGACTGCACCGGAGTAGAAGCCGCTCCTCGCTTGCGAGAGCGGGGAAAGTGTCGGCTCACCGAGACATCTATGTCAGATGCCGGGGCCAACACGTCGATTACCGGCTGTTCGAATAGGGGTGGCACCCCCGGAACAGAGCCTGAACCGACATTCGATGTGGAACATACAGCGCTCGCAACCACCCCGCTAGAAGCGGGGGGCATTGAGCCCTGAAACGCCACTGACTCGACGGTCATACCGTGAGATATCAGTGACGATTGAGACAAAGCTGAGGTTTGTGCAGACATACCGCCAACAACAGCCGGTGGGTCTTGTTCAAAGTCTAGCCTGCTAGACACAAGGGCCCCCGATCTCGTTCAACTTGACCGACCGCTATACATACCTGCAGTCGCCCTGGCGGGTGACTGAGTTGCCTTCTCCCGTACACGGCCCGCGAGAAAGCCAGGCCGAAACCCGACCCCCTCGGGGCGTGCAACAACACGAGCCACCTCGGGTGGACATGAGATCGAAACCGAAGGCACCGAGGTAGTCGCCGTGGAACGCCAGGACCTCCGCCCATCGTCCTCCGACGAACTCATAACAGCAGATCGGATTTCTGAAAAATAAAAACAACTTACAAAAAACAACCCAAAGGGTACACACCAATAAAACCCGTAAAAATATGGCAAAAACTAGCAATGCAAAAACAAAAACACGGCACAAAAAATATGCATGTTAAAGTCAAGCACGCAAACAAAGAAACATGCACCAGATCGAAAGGCACACAAAACACACAGCGCACGAGGAAACAAATTCAACGTGACGCTGAAAACAAAAACGGAACAGAACACCTTTCAAAAAGGGTCTCAAAACCGTCCAAAATGCAAAATAAGTGACTTCAAGGCAAGTCCAAATCAATCACAATTGAAAAAGGAACAAGAATAATAAATGAAAAACAGCTTAAATATGAAAAAGAAGGTAAAAACAGTCTTTTTTCACGGAGAGATACTACTCAGCTGTTAACTCGATGGTTGCGAGGAAAACAGAGGAAGTATTCTATAGAGTTGGGCAGGACAATGGGAAGACGGGGGGTTACACACCTAGTGACTTTTTGGGTTTAAAATTCTCGTGATGGCTTGTAGTCGAGAACGACTAGCATAAATAGGTAGGTACATTGATTTATTGTTATAAATCAGAGATTTAATTTTACCTGTCATCCAGGGCTTATCTCTAAAGTGTAATAATACCTTACGAACTGGAAAATAAATGTTAATTGCATTATTTAAAGTACTATAAAAAGAACCACATCGAACATTTACATCAACATCTTGAGTCACTTCTGGCCGATCATAAGAAGATATCCACTGTCCAAACGCCCTTATTGCACTATCTGTCACGGGTCTGTTGAATACATAACGAGTACTGTATAAGCTGTTATTTTCGCGAATTTTCGCGAATTGCAAATTATCGCGAAATTATCAACACGCGAAAATATTAATATTAAAGAATTAATACGGAAGTACAGTACAGTACTTAGTACTGCAAAAGTGTCATTCGCGAAAGCAACGACCCGCGAAAATGTCTCTTAGCCTGTCATTCGCGAAAATATCAGCTTATACAGTAGTATTTGGTAATTTAGGTTTGATTTTAAGAGGAAACCACATAATTGAATTGTGGTCAGACATTCCAATAGGAGAACAAATCTGTGGTTTATCATAAAACTGATGAATATTAGTGATAATCTTATCTAAAATGTGAGCCCCTCTAGTAGGGCAATCAACGACTTGACGAAATGAGTGGGTTAAAAGCACCGGATCAATATTCATTCGATTAATATCTCCCAATATTACAAAACCTGCATCCGTATGATTAGTTAAAATAACATCGATAGTTGTTTCCAAATGATCTATGAGTTCTGTCTCAAGTTCAACATTAGGCTGAGGGTAATATACGACTGCACAGTAAATGCAGGAGATGGATCTTGGAAGACGAGGAGGGCGTATCTTCACCCAAGTCACTTCAAGGTTTATAGGGACTTGGACATCGGCTGGAGAAGGATTAAAAAATTCTCTCACGTAAAAATAGTGGGTTGTTATGTTGACTTCTTGGTCAGTTCTTAACTAATATAGGTGGGTCCAGAAAGTAATAAATCTCCACATATTTTTGCTTGAGGTTCAGGAGTTTATTGATGTAGCTAAAACATCATGCTTATGCTGTGCATGCTAGTTGTCAAGTGCAACTCACCACTCTCACATGTACAGTACCATAAGGCAGTGTATGAGGTTTGAATGTGCATGACTAATTACTCATTAAATACATTACACACTCTGTGTGCCAAAAGTACTGTGTTGAAGAGTGCTTTCTGCATGGTTGCTTCATAATGAATATGCATGGCTGTTTAATAATGAGCACACAAGTTATGTTCAAATTAGGAGTGCTGTATAACTTCAGCTCATAACATTACATCAATCACATTGACCTAGACATCCTACCGGGTACCCACTTAGCCCCGGGTGGAGGGGAGCAATGTAGATAAATACCTTGCTCACGGACATTAGTAGCACAAAGGACTCGAACCACAAACTATGTGATCCACAGTTCGGTGACGTATCCAATAGACCACGACACCTCTACGATGATCATCCCATTTTGTTAACCCAAAGAAAATACGTACATGTCGTAACCTGACTTTAGTTGTCATACCATAATTATATTGGTCCTTTGTGGCTATAAGGGCATATACAAAATTCTGAGATTCTGGTGTACAAACCTGCACCTCTACTGCATTGTGTAGATCTCAATCCACTGGTTGAAGGCATGTCAAGGTTCACAGTCCGTGGAGAAAGGGGAAATGAGGTGAGACCAGTCTGTCCTCCAGATGAATTACCTGATCCTTGGCCTACCAAGTGTGGTGATGCTTCTCCCGAACTCTGGTGTAATGAGTGATGTGTCCCTTCTCTCGGGGATTCCAGCACCTGTTCAGGCTCTGATGGAATGCCTCTGTGAGGATAACTCTGCAACTGTCCAGAAGGTTGTGCTGATTCCAGCAAGTGAACATGGCGAGATCTTCGTTTCTTTTCCTTGAAGTAAGGATTCTGACATGTCCACTGTACACAGATTTTTAGAGAAAAAAAGGAAAGAAATTTTTTTAAATGTGACTAGCTGCAAATATGAGGGTAAACGAGACAAGGGATTTGGAACGTACATAATCGGCCAACCTCGTCCATTTTCCCCCTATAAATGCACATTTTTATTCTTTATAACCCCTAATTTTTCGCTATACATGTACATGTAGAATTTTTAAACAATGCCATTTAATACAATTCATTAGATTTTATTATTCATTAGATACATGAAAATGAACAGCAGTAATGCAAGGGTGTTCAAACACAGTTTTTCAGAAATAATGTTCAGTCATCGTGGTGTAGCTCTCCACCCCATCCCCCCCCCCGGCCCCCAATGAAACAGGATGAATAGAATAGCGTCTCTTATATGCCTCTGCATATGTATATTCATTGATAAATTATCCTGTGACCTGTAACATCTGACCTCATGAGCCCATATGCTTTTCATTTTAATATTTGAGTGGATTTAAAAACTTGAGCCCAGTTTGGTCAACATTGGTTCAATTTTTGTTAAATTATCACAGAAATACAATATTTTCTGGAATTTTGTAACTTTCAAGATCCTATAATCTTTGACCTTCATGACCTCTTACACCCAAATTTATTCAGGTCATTCTTGTCTGCTCATAAATATTTCGTCCAAGATTAGCTGTAATTGCTTCAAGACTTTTGAAGTTAACGCTGAAACTAAATTTTGTATCATTTTTTTTTTGTATTAAAAAGGGATATATGAACTTCTGATTGGTTTTTGGTTCGGTTTGGCTCGAATTGCTTCAGTGTTTTTCAAGTTATTGCGGTATAACAATATATTTCCTTGTATATTTGTTATACTTTCAAACGTTTTTCATGACTTTCTGACTATTGAAGTCCTCCCAACCCCCCCTCCCCTCTTTCACTAATCAGTTCATCATTGTATGGTACTCTATTAAAATTTGGTTTGTATTGCTTTAATAATTTCCAAGTCATTGTGGTAATAAAATATTATCTGTATTTTTCAACACTTTTTGAATCTGAGACCTTTAAAATGTCACCTCTTCTACACACAATCAAATCAGATCATCCTTGAATGCTCATACTCCATCTAACTTTGGTTAAAATTAGTCTAGTTAAAATCCATATAATTTTTTTAAAGTTATCGCTATAATCATTAACGTTAGGTTGCTAACACAAATTCATGTCGCTTGTTCTCTCTTCCTATATACATCTCACCCTCTACTCTCCAAGCTAACCCATGCCACGTGATGAAACCAATGATTTGATGAAATGGACGGACTCAAAGTCAAGATAAAATTGAATAAAGCATAGTAGTAGTTGGGGTATTCGAATTTGTATATACATAATATTTAATTCATGAAGTATGCTAAGTTCTCATGCTTATGTAA